TTGACCTTGACGCTGACGGGCGCCAGAGTGGACTGGCCGAAGCGTTCAGACTCTGCGCGACGACGCTGCTCCTCCTTGGCTGCGAGGGCACTCGCCGAGGCGACGGCGGCCGCTGCCGCCTCATCGCCAGCCCTCCTGCGTTTGGCAGAATCGCGGCGCTGCGGTCGGCCGCTGGGCGATCCGTAGACATCATTCTCGGACTCACGGCTGAGGATGCCCTGCGGGTCTGGCGGCATCGCAGGCATGCTGACGGAGTCGGGGTAGCCGGCACCTGCACCGGGAGGCGTTCTCGGGGGGCGGGCAGAATACGGCGGCATCGGGGGCCCACCTCCGTAGCCGGTTCCAGAAGGACGAGGCTCAAGCTCGGAGGATTCGGTCAACTCGGTGATCTCTGTGCTGATGGCGGACATGGGAGGTCTCGGGCGGCGACCACCACTGGCGCGGCGAGAGGAGCGCCTGTCGCGGGACGGGGAGGACATGCCGTCTCCCGTGTATCTTGAGCCCGAAACGCCTGACCTCATCTCTTCCTCGTCCCTGATTCTCTGCTCTTCGGCCTTCTTGTTCTTGCGGTCGGCCATCTTCTTGGCGAACCATCCCAAGCCCAGACCAGCCAAGATGCCCTTGCCGGCCCCGCCTGAGGGCGGCGGCTCATCCCTACGTCTAGACGGGCTCACATACGACGAGTACTCGGAATCTTCGAAGCTGTACTGGGACCTGGTCCTGGCGTGAGGGGGTCGGTTCGTGCGAGATTCGGCGGCGCTGAGAGCTTGAGCGGCCATGACGGGGTTTCCAGGGGGCGGCAGGATGGAACCCTCGCGGGGTCTTCGTGCGGGCGGCGGGGTGTCTTCGGTCCAGTCCGTGTAGTCGGTGAACTCACTCTGGGCGGGGTAGCTTCGACTCGGGCGGCGGCGTTGAGGAGTCTCGGTCGAGACGGCAGAGTATTCCTCGTCGTGTGGTCGGCTCTTCTCTTTCTTCTTCATCAGGCTGGACAGAAGCTTTCCTGCGCCGATACCAGCACCGACACCGAATAACGTCTTCATGAAGCCGCCGCCTTCCTTCTTCTTGTCATCCCGGCGAGAGTCGATGTCGGTGTACTTTTCGCTCTCGAAGTAGCTTGCGGAATCTCTGCGTGAGGGGAGGTAGCTCTGCGAGCCCCGTCTGGAACCGATAACCTCTGGCCCACGACTGCGGCTGCGCGATCGTGATCTTTCCCGGCTGAGCTCCTTCTCCTTCTCCTTGTGCTTCTTGCGACCGAACAAGGCGGCCAGGGTGGCACCAGCTGCGAGAGGCGCCACCCATCTGTTGCTCTTGGTCTTCTCCGTGTGGACATCACTGTAGTACTCTGAGTCGTAAGACACGCCGCTCGGTCCCTCGGACCGTCCTCCACTGATGTACGTCTCCCGGCCACGGTCATCGCCCTCGGCGCGGTAACTAAGGATGAAATACAGCAAGAGCAAGAAGGCGACCCATAGGGAGTAGAGGATGAATGTGTACTTTGGGGAGCCATAGAGCGTCAATCCGAGAGGCACCTGAATGAGACCGAGCAGAGCGATGAGCCGTCCGCTCCACCGATGAAACATCTTTCTGAGCGAGCGTCCCCTGATGTTCCTCACGAGCCGGCCGCCGATGATCTGCAGGAGAAACATGATGAAGATTGCCAGGCCGATGGCGTGGTGCGGGTTCGTCCAGCTTCGTTCGGGGCCGACGGCGAACCAGCCCAAGGTGAAAACGGCGACAAGCAAGAGCGCTCCCAGGATCTGTAGCTGGGCGTGGTAGGGTACGGCGTAACCGGGCTTTCTCGTGTAGAATCGAACCGTCAAGACGGAGAAAGGGACGATGACAAGGAAGACGATGGCTCCCATGACACCGTGAGCAAGAATGAGGGTGTGATATTGAGCGACTGTCGAGAAGCGATTGCCCATGCCTAGGGTGGTCTGTGTTAGTGGAGTGTCTTCATCGAAAACCCGGCCGGGACGCATTCACCATTGTATTGCATGGTCTCGAAATTGAGACCTTGGAGGTTGGGCAGCAAGAAGGTGTTCTTCTCAAAGTCCCAGGTTCCGTCGCCGACCGTCATGGTGTTGGAGTCGTAGGTAGCGACGCCCGGCGCCGAGAACCCTTCTGCCGGCGCCATGATGGCGACGACGAGCGGAGGAGTCCTTCAGACGCGGGTGGGAGGTGTTGAAGAATGCGGGAAAACCGTTGGGCGTCTTTATCGTGGCCGACTCTCGAGATCCTCAAAAGGAAAGGGACCCCGAGAAATGGTTGCGTTTATCGTTTGGGTGGGATGGCGGGTTTCCTGAAAGTCGGTCAGTGAGCCGGCCGGAGGTGCAAGTGGGGGAAGTTTCGGTGTTGGCGTCTGCGCTGGAATGTTTGAAGCAGAACATGCGCCCTACCCCCAGAGGAAAGATAAGGTGTCGGGAGGTTGGGAACAAAGAAAATCTTCAGGATGAACCCGAAGACTTGTGTCACTACCTTAGCGACGAGAGACTAGGTTTCTCCAAGAGAAAAAGAGAGTGGGTTCGTCCTGTCTGTGAGCTCACCAGGTGGTCGCTGACAACCCAGCCGGACCTGCAGCGTGGTTGCGCGGGGTAACCGGGTCGCCCTTGGCGCCGAATCCTGGCTCCACAGCGGGCGACGGGCAGCGGGTGTGGTGGAGCCCAGCCTATCGATAGGCCACTTGGGGACAACGGGTTAGTGTCCCGGTGGCTGGAAAGCTCTTATCGGCACGTGACCGCCCGAACTGATCGCCCGAGCTCTTCCAAGGTTTCCAAGGCTGTTTTCCGTCCAAGACGTCAGCGTCCGTATTGTCCTGGGCAACCATGTTCTTTTTTCCAGGGTTCAGCTCCTTTTTAAAGTGCAAAACCGTTGTCCCATGTTCGCTTCGAGAAGCAGCTGCGGACTTTCGACGAACACCGTCAGCCTCAGCTGGGCACGCACAAATGGTGCGTTCGCCTCCGGGGCGGTGTGCCACGTGTCTGCGGTGAGCTGGCAACGGCCATTCTGTCTGGCCCGGCCCTCTCTGCGTTATACGAATTTCTGAGATAGAAAGCGGATTCGAGCGAAGAGGGGATGACAATTAGAGGCGCAGAGACTCGAGGTTTTGAAACAGGCGGTGGGCGGACATCCCTGCTCAGGTACCAACGGCTACTGCAGTGTACCCGAACGGATCAAAGATCTCGACCTACCTCCCCGCTGTTAGCCTTCTTTTCTCCCCAAGACGGGCCGGCCATTCCACCCGTCGAATGAGTCACGTTGAGAAGATCGTGTCTGCGCAGCAAGTCATCACCGATTTGTGTCTCACTGTCCGTCATCTCAAGCTACTCGCTCGTCAGGCAAGTCATCGCCTGAGGGGAACAAACAGCGGGTCTAGCTGAATCGCAGACTCGGGTGACGGTGTTCTCGATGTGCAATATATCGAGAACGATATCAAGAGGTCCTGTGAGGAAGAATGATCTGCGTTCACAGCCACATGTAAAGGGCTCATATCCATAACTGTTGGTTTCGTCGAAATGCGATACTTGATGCTGTCTGTGAGGCTCGTTCTCGTGGCTCGTTCTCGTTTTCGCAGTCGGTCGGGTCAGTGGCTGATGATGGCCTCGTCAACACAATGCTAACCTCCTTTGCGCCAAGAAGCAATTTTAAGCATCACCATGTTGAGGTTTTGCTAGGAAATAGGCAAGATTTGATTCGATAATGGAAGGGAGGCGTGGTGCTCGGCGTGAAAGTAGAATGTTTGAATGATTGATATAAAGGCCTGCCTGTTGTTTGAGATGTTGCTGTTATTGAGTATCGAAACATCGTTCTCACAGACTCAAACATACCAGTCATCTTCCAAATTCTCCTTCAGATCAATTCCACAATGCATATTCCTTCTATGATCATCATGGGCCTGGCTCCTTTGGCCTATAGCTTCCCTCACTTTGCCAACTCTGGCATTGGACACTCAACCCGGCCGCCAGTAATCAAGTCTGGAAACGGAACCGGACGTCTGACGCCAAATCACTTCTTCTGGAAAGCTCCAGGACCTGGCGATCGTATGTCTGGATCTGTCTCGGCGGGAGTATTTGAACGTGCTAACAGAATCAATGCAGAGCGTTCCCCATGCCCGACGATGAACACCCTCGCAAACCATGGCTTCGTTCCCCACGACGGCCGAAACATTACGCTCGACAAACTCACAAAGGGGGTCAAGGATGCATTGAACGTGGCCGAATCCCGGGCTCTCAACATCTTTGAGAACGCTCTTGTAGTCAACCCCGTTCCCAACGCCACGGTAAGAGAAGCATCTGCATCGCTCCGAGAGGGCGGGCTGACCAAAGCCGCAACAGTTCTTTGACCTCGAGATGCTCCATGTCCATAATGTGATCGAACACGACGGCAGTCTCTCCCGCCGCGATGCGGTCTTCGACCCCACCAACTCCTTCGACAAGGGGACCTTTGACAACTTTGTGAGCTATTTTGGAAACGAGCAGGCCATCAACACGTCAATCATAGCCAACGCTCGTGCCAGACATGCCCTTGACATGAGCGAGATCAACCCAAGCTTCTCCATCACCCAAGAACAGATTCCGGTCATCGTCGGCGAGAACGCCTTCATGCTGGCCATTTTTGGTCATCCGGAAAACCCGGTAGCGAATAGGTCATTCATGGAGTACTTCTTTAGTAAGTTATTGTGGTCCCACACTGGTCTTCGACATATTCTAATCATCCATAGGGAACGAGCGGTTGCCAGTTGAGCTTGGCTGGACTCCGAGCGACACTCCTATTGACACCACGCTGGGCCAGTTCGTGCAGGATATTATCGCTCAGAGTCCTCCCGATGTGCCCCTCACATTTACCCCGCAGTCGTCTGTTTAAACACGGCGTGGAATCTCGGGAAAAGGTAAAAGATTGTTGAGTTCGCTATGCATATTATCGACGTCTGATGGATGTTGTATACGACATATATCTCCATCTCTATAGTTGATGAACAGGCAGTCCAACATTTTTATGTCTCTCTATATAGTAGATGCATGATTGACCTTAAATTTTATAAACCTTGAACTCGATTTTACCACTTTATGCCCACGAATCTTGAGTAAAGTCTTGCCGTTTATGAACGCTGCAGCAGGACGACCCGAAGTCATGTAGCATTTTGTGCACGCTTCATCAGAACAACCCAAAGCCCAGGAGACAAATTGGTACTTTAGCAAACTGACGGATGGTGCAAACCAATCGGCCTCCGGCTTGGGATGCCGCTTGAATCTCTCCCTCGCCGGCATGGATAAGGTGATGTACTCTCTCAACCCCCTCAACTCTGGAGGGCCAGTTTCGGTCGGACACCAGCGACAGCTGCCCAATTTGTAAAGATCCCCGAACAGCCCATTGTAGAAGTCTTCTAATTGTTTCAACGTGCAATCAACTTCGTCAGCTCTGCGCGGGTCTTCCCTCCACGGATTTGCCCATGAATTACTCCATCTGAATGTCAGGATTTCGCCGGAGGGTCTTTTCGTTGCAGGCTGAGGAAGATACCCAGAACTCACGGTGATGATACCCGTCTTTATATACTCCAAGCATATGATGCCTTCCACAATGCTCCAGTCTAGTTCCTCTTGGCCAGAAGTTTTGGGGGTGTTCTTGAAGAGCAAGCCCCTTGTCTTCGGCGGATGCTCGAAGGTTACCTTCGCATCGTAGGGGCCTCTCGATGTTCCATAAAGCAGAGGAAACATGATGCAATCGTAGAAGCGTATCGGCGTTTGAGCGTTCCTAGCCCAAAGCAAGACTTCGTCGCGCTCCCAGAACGGTGTACCCGGTTGACCATCGGCTTTTCTAGTCTCGCTGAAATGTATGCCGAATGAGCCCGTATAATTGCCCAGACGATCGACAACTTCGGCTGCATCGCAGACCTTTGCGAGCAAGACGAGAAGTGCGGCTCTGTGATTTCCATCTGGAGGAGCCTGTATTGAGACAACCACCTCTTTGGGATTGTAGTGTTTGAGGACCTTGGCGAAGACGGAGCGTGTGTTCTTGATCGACCACATTGACGTTTTGTGACGAATCCCTTGTTTCTCAGGTCCTTCGTCCGCCGCCCAGGTGGCTTGGATCCTCATAGCTGAGCCTCTTATGAACTCTGAGTCGACAAAGACGCACAGCTTGTCGATGTCAATACGCTCGCATTCGTGCTTATCGTCGGGAGCGGGAGCTGTCTTTCCGAGGCGGCAGTTGCAGCGAACACGTCTGCGAGGCAGACGGTCGAGGATATCGGATCTTAGCTGGGAGTTGGTATGAAGAAGACTTATGTGATCTTCTTCCTTGCTCAACATATCCCATATGTGGTCGCGCGTCTCTTGAGGAAGGGTCGAGAATGGGGACGCCATCGTTGCTGTGTCCATTATTGCTGTGTTCATCGTTGCTGTGTGCCTTGCTCGGGGTCTATAAATGTGCCGTTCGGGGGCAATGCGACAGATGCTTTCTTTTCGAACTTACTAAAAGTTGAAGGCTTGGTACATATAAGCATATGGATTCAATCGGAGAACCTTGATTATCTAGGTGATGCAAAGGTGCGACTTCAAGGTGGCCTTGCGATACAGTTTAAATTTTCTTGTCAACTCTATTTATGTCATCGCGGAGAGGAAAGGAAACATCGTCGTCTTGTTATCTCTATTATTGTAGTCTTCCTCGTCTGCCATCTCCGTTTACTGCCTCTAACTAAAGGAAGCAAACAGGCGATAATTTGGGTATCTTGAGGCGACCAATTGATACTGGGGACCTTGTTATATGAAAGGCGGTGGAAGTCATAGACACAGACACCTTGCCCAGGTTTGGATCAGTCAGACACTGGTGCTAGCGAAGGGTTGAGGATGGATCAGCGCACAATTTCTTACGGAACGTCGACAGACAATCGAAGATTCGGGATTTAGGTCTACCGAGACATTGGACATCCAAAACATAGATAATTTGATGTGACGTTTTCGTCAATCACGCAAAGCAGGATAAGTCCAGATGCGGGAACCCTTCAGACACTGGCAAACTGTAGGCGGTAAGCGGTTGGCGCTTCTTTGGACGGCCGATCAAAACAAGACATTTTAGCGGCAAACCAAATTCGCTTTTCAGTACAAGATCGGCAGCCACTGAAGCTTGAGGCTCTAGGAACTAACTCCGGTGACGTTGACCCGTTTGCTGGTAGATGGAAGGTCTCAGATCTGAAGACAAGGCTGAGACTTTGCGCAATGTGAGTCAAGCCGACAGTGATAATTAGACATTTGATTCCACGGACTGCGCAGAGGTGACGTTATTTACCTCTTCTTGTCCGGGTCCGTCGTGAGAATTGATATGGTGTTTGATTTCATCAATGACATAGGAGGACGGTTTAGTATATAAAAGTAATCTCAACGAAGCGATCAGTCGCGGCTCATGGTATCTATCTGATTTTCTAGCATCCGTACTTGAGACTTCACCCTAATTGCCCCTGTTTTTACTCTCATCTAGCTACACTTTTCCCTCAGACACTTTTCCCCCAGAGCACTCAGTCACAATGCCGCCAATCTTCCCGTTAGCAATCAATACTGAGGGGTCGAAGGGCGAAAAAAAGCCGGAGCGGGAACCACGGAACCTCGTACTCTTCTTCGATGGCACTGGAAACGAGTTTACCGGGTCTGACAAGGATACGAATGTGGTCAAATTGCTCAATATGATGGACCGCAATGCCTGCAATCAGTACCACTACTATCAAAGTACGTTAATCATATCTGCAAGTCGGCTGGTTGCTTACATGTCCTTAGCTGGTATTGGCACATATGATGTCAAGGAGAAGACCGTCCACAAGTCCAGCTTCGGCGAGATGAAGAGCAGCTTCTGGAAAATGGTTGACCAGGGACTCGGTACGACATTCGACGCGCATGTCATTGCCGGCTATCGCTTCCTGATGCAGTACTATGCCCCCGTGAGTAAGCCGTCGCCCTAAAGTTGGCGAGCATTTCAACTAACCTTCCATGATGACAGGGTGATAGAATCTACGTGTTCGGGTTCAGTCGCGGGGCATACATCGCTAGATTTCTCTCACGCATGGTTTTCACTGTTGGACTTCTCTGCAAAGGGAACGAGGAGATGGTGCCGTTCGCATATCGCCTCTACCAGCGGCACCTGAACGGCGAGTTTAAAGCTGCCAAGAAAGGTGACCATCACATATCTCAACACAACGACTATCAGACGAACCAATCTCCAAAGAAGTGCACAGCGGCCACGTGCGAGTTGGTCGCGTTTAGCGACACCTTCTGTTGGAGGGCGCCACGGGCCAAGACTAACATCAAGGTCTTCTTCCTGGGCCTGTGGGATTGCGTCAACTCGGTGTCCGTTTTGGAAAAGAAGACGACGGCCAACGTCAAAGTCCAAGGGACTGCGGACATCATCAGGCATGCTGTGGCTGTCGACGAGCGCCGCGTCAAGTTCAAGCCAGCACTCTTCGACCAGGACAAAGCAGGTGACAGCATCCGAAAAGAGCACATCAAGGAAGTCTGGTTCCCGGGCAACCATAGCGATGTCGGCGGTGGTTGGCACCCCGACAGTGACTTTCTTTTGACCGACGACAAGAAAGCTAACATCGGGTTGCGCCTGAAGTCTTGGAAGAAACTTCGAAAGCTGAGAAGGGAGCAAAAAAAGGAAGGACAAAATGACTGGGGCCAATGTGAGCAGTCTCACTACACCTTGAAGCAGTTGGATGATTGCGAGGCCGAGCACTCCAAGTCGTATTGCTCCAAGGATAAATGTGGGAGGTGTCGCAATGACGGCCAACACGATTACTGCTCCCACAGGTACCGCATGAGGCCTTGCCAACTGAGCGATGCCCCCCTGTATTGGATGATTCAAGAGATTGAAGAAGCGGACAAGCGACAACGCGGAGAGGGAGACTACTGGCCGGATGGTGAGGGAATCAAGTGGGTTAAGGAAAAGGTCGCGGACTTCAAGATTCGTTACCTGTACCACAAGGAGGATGCCGTACTCGCCTCTCTTCACGATCCGCTCAAATTTGGCTTCGGTGATACGATAGGGTCTGTCCTATTATGGAACTTTCTGGGTGAGGCTCTTGCATTATCCTTGTGTTAGAGTATGACTGACATGAACAGAATTCTACCCCTTGGCCAAACGATGGGAGCTCAAGAGGAATACTGTTCGTGCCGACAAAGAACACGCCGCCGACACTTACCGTACCCATTGGCATTGGCAGATGTTTCCCCTCAACATGGGCGAAACCCGAGATATCCCTTGTGATGCAGTCTTGCATTCATCCCTGGTCGATCGTATCAAGCGTCGCCCGACTTACCGCCCAGTGAACAACAGTGGAGAAGTCGACGGCAAGGAGACACCTTATTGCTTGATAACAGAAAACAAACAGGAGATTTCCGGCAAAATAATCGAGAGGCCGCCGGCTGAGTCAGAAGACCTCTGTAGAGGATATTATACTTTTGGGGAGAAAAACACTAAGTCGGGTTGAACTCGACAGGGAATTGTGTTGCTTTTACTCGTTTTACGTCGCCGGACCGCTTCTGGTTGGGCTAGTCGAGTGTTGTATCGTGGAGTTGCGGTCAGGAGGTATGCGAATCGTGAATATTGAATAAACGGCAGTGAAAGAAGTCTTTCGTTTGAGACAGCCTAGTTTTCATATGTTTGCACGGCTGAACGTCCTATGTTGCAGCAAATTTGGAGATTTACTTCTATCGTAGACAACAGTTAATTACAGTGATTAGAGACGAGGGCGTCGACAAGGATAAGGATGACGACGACGACGACGAGGGAGAGGACGACGTTGAGTATGCAGGAAGAATAAGGGACCTGTTCCGTTTTCCTAGTCATGCTGTTGACGTTCTGAAGCTGATAGAACACCAAGTCAGACGTGCCAATGCATCCCTACATGCCACCATGCGCCCGTTTATTAACCAACAAACTCGTCTCTTCCTCCGTCCCGAATGCCGCAAACCGCAAATCCTCATTCATATCCACAATCTCCCCAAATCTGACCTTGAGCTTCTTTAAATGCTCAGACATGCCCTCCTTGCCACCAGAACAAGCCTGTCTCGCCAACCGATTCAAAGTCCCATGCTCATGAGTCGTGGTGCACAAGATCTGCAGGAAGCCTCCAGGAGTCGCCGCGACGCCGTTCTGGAACATGGCAATCAGGCCGAGTAGCAAGAAGATCGCAGTAACAATCAAGTCTGCGGCGTACACTGCAATGAGTTTCCAGGGGGACTTGAAAACGTAGCTCAGCCTATAGGTTTCGGTCGTGACGGAAGTTGAAGTCAAGTGTTGCCCGTCATTGAATATTGAGAGGGAGACATTGGTCATGAGATCGCGAAGAATTTCTGGTGACAGGTTTCGACCATAGAGAGAAGCTGACAGCCGTTGAATAAGGCGTTCAATTCGTCTTTGGTATGAGTATATGTCGGATATATGTATTCGATGCCATCCGGACCGTCTTTGGCACGTTGCTCGCCGTAGAAAAGGTTGGGATAAAACAACGCCGTTGCATTCAGCGGTTTCTCGTTCGATATACCCACAGTTATAGTCTGAATGGAGTTGGTGCAATTGACATGAGCATTGTAAGTGGCCGCCATTGCGACGCAGTTCAGCGCCCGCAATGTAGCATTCTGCCGCTGCCCATCACTCTCGGCCCAGATCATGACAAATTCATACAGATCGTTGACTCTCTTGAAGTTAGGATTGTGGGGGTAATGAGAAGCTCGATAGAATCCATTTTGCGCGTAGGTGTCGTTGAGGTCCGTGTTGAAGTACAATTTCGCTGTTGAAACAGGGCTCGCGTCCTTACATTGAAGGGACGGAGCCGCACATTGGAGGTCATAGGAGCAGTTGACTCCGCAAGATGATGTGCGAGTGAGATAGGCACCTTCGAGTAGAGACCGTTTGCCAATGGCCGAGTACTCCAAGATCGGCATTCTAGCTATGAGTCAGAATTGAGCTAGGTGAGAGATTGGTGTGAAAAACGTACTTGTACTCGCCATCAGGCATTGTACTGAACATGGCATACTTGAAGAGGTCGGCTGCTGATCCATTGCCGCGAAAATCGACATCAAGAGCTGGGATTGATGCTGCACTGGTTACGTTCCGAGCTACCTGCTCTACGACAAGGCTTCCGCCCGGAAGTGATGCTGACAATGGGACCAATAGGAGTAGTAATCCGAAGAACCACAGAAGGGGGACTAGTTTCAATATCCCGAGCTGATACAAGTTAAGCGGACCGAAATTCAGCTGGAAGAGGGCTTCCACTTTCTCCAGTGGAAGCGACCTCCGGCGTAGATACCACCACAAGAGTTGCGCGAATGCTGCTGAAGCGGACGCTGTCAGGATGGTTGAGAAGGCCCGTGAAAGAACTAGGATGAAAAAGCTGTTCCATGTCTGAGATATGCCGACTTCATCGATGGGTCTCCCACCTCCTCCGCCAATCACGTAGAAGTAGATGTAGTTGGCAATGGCGATAACCATCGCTCCGATGAAGCCCCCGACGATCACGGCTGGTGTGTACCATCCTATAGAAGAAAGCTTGCTCGTACTCAGAGGCCTCGGTGAGACTACCGATGTGAACCCCTTGGTCTCCCGAACAAAGGGTGTCGAGGAATCTGTGATATTGGCAGCGTCGAGTGGATGAGGGCTGTGTTCATCGTGGGTGTTTGAGTCTGTCTCCAGCTCCGCGCGATACGCGATGTTACTCATTTTTCGGTGTTCAGCGGTTGTATTTTCTCCGGGGTTGAACCCAGCTCGGTCGTGAAGACCTGCGTCGGATGCTTCCTTGTATTATAGGAAGCTACACGTCGACCCCCTGAAGGATCGCACTTTTCAGCTGAGCACGCGGGCTTTGTCTAGACCGATGCTACCACAGACTCATTGGCAAAGTATGGCAAAGGCGAATGCGTTGCGATTACCATATTGAAAGTGCGATAGACCTCAAGATAGACTTTGGAGGCTGAATAGGCTACATGCAAGATCTTGGAGGAGCTGAAGATCTAGCGTGGTGTTAGCTGAAGTGTGAATGTCAACACAGACTCGAATTAGCCTAACCACTAGCGACCGTTGTCTCACTTGTAGGTGCCTTGCATCTCAACTCCAGCTGTCGTGACCCTGCGTTGAGCTAAACTCCTGTTGTGCGCCCAAGACTTGACATTCGGAGCATCGGTAGGTGTTGGGGAGTTGCGGCCATGCATGCGATGTGGTCTCCGGGAGCCCTTTTGCTGAGTTTGCACTGGCATCTCAGCATCTCAGCATCTCATGTTCCGTATCTGAGTCTAACTCCTTCAAAAAGGCCGCCACAGTCTCTCTCACAGCCTACATCTCACCTGTCGCTCTACCTCATAAACTGACGTTGCGCCATGTGATCGTCTGCTTGTACAGGACTAGGACTACCCAAGGTCTTCAATAGACGTTAAGCTCCCGAGGCAGTCAAGGCTGTCATGGATAGTATTGTAATAACGGAGGACATAGTCATGACGGCTGAGTTATTCTGTGGATATCACGTTGCCTACGTCAACCTTTGCTCTCGGTGACAAGCCCACGCTCTATAACCATCCTGCGTTCCCGGCTCTAGCACATACGACCATACCCACTGGAGAACTCGGGATCCCGTCCGCTCTCCCATAGATAAGCCAGTGAGGGCTGGAGTAGTAGTCGGGTCGGTGACGACCGGCGAATGCCCGGTGTTGTATGTTTTTGGCGTTCACGATCCATCTTTTGGTGTTTTTGTGGACTGGCTATGCATACGTTGTGGCGCCGTACACGTCGCACCAGCCGGCCCCATTCGCGATGACAAGTACTGGTAAGAAACGTCCGTCTTGCATATTGCAGTTGACTCTTTAAAAAGCATGAGCATGATCATAGGTTCCTTGCCTGCCTTTCCATACCTTACAATTCTACCTATCTCCTTGAAAGAGGCCGCCGCCACCTTTTTCTGGACCGCGAACGCGGAGACAAGCCCGACGACTACACATAGCCTTCAATAGACACCAAACTCCTGCGTGGAACCAAGACTACCATGCATATGTATACAACGGAGCTGAGATGTCTATGCTAATTACGCAGTTCTAATCGAAGGTCCTTCTCTATTTGATCATCCACAAAATACGCTCCTCAATCACCCCCAGCGAATCCATTCCCTCATTCTCAGCCATCAGCTCCAGCGCACGCCTCTTGTACCGCCCGTCCGCAAGCACCTTGTCCACCGCCCCGCGCACCGCGGCGGCGCCGGGCGTCTGCGTTCTCAGGTTCACCGCGAAGCCCGCCACCGACCCGCGCTCCGCCACCTCGGCCTTCTCCTCCGTCTGGCCAGCGAACACGGCTGGCACCCCGTTGACCACCGCGTGCGTGAAGCCCCCGTACCCGGCGTTGGAGACGAACACGTCGGCGTGGGCGAGCACCGCGTTGTAGGGGAAGTAGTCGAGCACGCGCGCGTTGGCGGGCAGACGGGACATGTCGAGGGTTGCGCCCCGGCTGCCCAGGACGACGATGACGAGCACGTCGTCGCGGCCAGCGAGACCCTGGACGGTGGGTAGGATGAGGTCCTCGGGGTCGATGTTCACGGTGCCCTGCGTGACGAATACGACCTTCTTCCCGGACTCGCCCTTGTTCGTGACCTCAGACCACCAGGACGGGTATGTCAGGTCTTTGCTGAGGGGCGGACGGGGCAGACAGCCTGCGAAGCCGACCGTGGACGGCTTATCGGACAGGTCGTACTCGAGGCTCGGCGAGCAGAGGAGGAGCACCTGGTCATAGTCGAGGAAGAAGATATCATTGACTGTATGGGCTGGCAGCGACGTGCAGCCCAGCGACCGGAAGACGGCGTCCCTCTTCTCATGCAGCTTCTTGAACGGGCCGTCGTTGATTAGCTGGTTCAGCGCCGCGTTGCGGAGCCTGCCCGAGTCGGACGTGTCGGGCGGCAGGCCGAGGGGCGTGGGCGCGCAGTCCACGCTCTGCATGATGAGCGGGCAGGGGCTGACGCCGAGCGTCCGGGGGAACTCGTCGAAGCCCCGCGGGAGGGGACGGCCGTACCGCCAGGGCACCGACGCCATGTTCGGCCCGTCCTCGACGACGACGATCTGCCTGCCGGGATCGCGGGCCCTCAGCGCCTCGAGCGTCTCTTGGAGCCTCTCGGTCCTGGCGGGGAGGTCGTCGAGGAAGACGCAGCCGATGGTGTGCGCGTAGCGTCTCGGGCCGACGGGGATGTCCCGCTGGGACCCGAGTTCGGCGAACTTGGCGGGAGTGAAGGGGTCCGGCGCCTCGAAGAACTCGGCACCTATGGCGCGGATCTTGGGCTCGTATTGGCTGGCGGCGAGGTAGGCGACGTCCCAGCCGCGCTGCACCAGGCCGGCGGCGACGCGCAGCAGAGGTCCGGTGTGGCCATCGCCAGGAAAGGATGTTACGAGGAGGAGAGGTCGGGAGTCTTGAGTGTTGACGATGGATCCCATTGTGGCTGTCTTGAGAGGGTGATTTGGGGATCAGAGCTATAATGAAAACTTCTAACGTTACAGCCTCACATATCAAAACGACGTCTATGTATTTGAAGTCGAAGACAATGCAAAGACGGATAACTTGAAACAGCTCGTCGATTGACCTGCCTACATATACTAGACAATCATCAAAAGGGCGCAATACCTTGAGAATTCTCCGACCCGGGGCCGACTCCGTTCCCCTGATTGATACTGCTTACTTCATACGGACCTTGGCGACATCACGTTTTGTCATCTAGGTAACATTGATAGTTTTGTGTCCTCGTAAACCGAGCTGCTATTGTTATAAATGGCGAGGGCGTGTACGAACTTCGCGGTCTTGGCCAAGACCGAAGCCGCGAAAGCGGGGGCCTGCACGAATGTGACTTTGCGGTCTCGGCTAAGAATGAAGCAGATTTTCGTGTTCGTTTACGAGGGGTCTCGGCTGAACAGCGAGAACATTTGAATGGAAATGACAAGTAATGGTAAGGAGCGTCCGTCTTCCACATTGCAATCGACTCGAAAAAGCATAAGCACGATCATGAGTTCCTTGCCTTCCATTCCATCCCGTGCGATTATCAATGGATGGTCCTTCTCTTGTGGATCGTCGCTTGTCGTTGGTGCACTTGCTTAATTGGGGGCTGTCGGTGCCTCTCATTGGTGTGAGCTGGCGTCGAACGGGGCCCGCCAGCAAGGTTGCAGGGGTCACCTTGACGGCCATGGCTGCCGCTGTAGGTTTTCGAATTCGGAAATCAACGTGGAACCCTACAGCAGACAAACAATCTGCTTTCAGTGCCTGCATCAGAGCCATGGCTTCATCAGCGGCAGAGGCGGGCGGAGAAGACAGCGATGAAAACATTGCGAATCTATCAATCCGCGAGATATGTCGTCGCTTCCAGGGAGAACGTCTCATTGTGCAGCCGCTGGCATGGACTACGCGGCACCTTCAACTCCTCCGCTGCACCATCAACGAGTTGCCCGAGTCATCAAGTAATGCATCTCAGCTGCAACCCATGCCCAACACGCCGCAGCCATCCCCCGATATCGCGACAAATTGGGCAAGAATGGTGGTCACGCGCTATCCAGATGAGGTTGCTAGTGCCGTGGGCTCTCTCTTGGAGTTCTACTCATTTACCATGCTCTCGTAAGTTGACGGTGTGATCTAGGACGTGCTTCCGGTTCTAACTGCATAGTGATCCCCTCATGTTCTGCAACGAAAAGCACAAGATTCATCATCCGTGCGACATATATACCGGCATTTCTCCATGCTCAAACGGTCCGCAACTGTCATCCGTTGCTTATGTTGATGAACTCAATATTTATCATCTACGCTGCGCTGTTTTAACGCGCCGAATGCTCTGGGGACTTCCACAGCATGAAAATAAAAAAGCGGCCTTCACAGATCCATACACTGCCGCTCTTCTCATTGCCCAAGCCCAACGACTTCGCAAGGAAAATGCACTTTCTACCCGAACTCAAGACCCTGGAGGGAGTTCTTGCAAGTCACACTCGCCTTACAAGGTCAGCCATCACTCATTCAATATTGTACGTTTGCTAACCGAGCTCCAGGTTCAATTGATGAAGTCAGTTCACATGGGCGTCAGGAGGAATCAACTGTGGTTGTACACGGCGTTCGTCACGGACGCTTTCTTGGACAAGCTTGCCTACCAAAGCTGCACTGCGAAGCGCTGACTAGGCCGCTGGAACCTTAGTCACCGCGCTGAACGGTGCAGCAGACAACCCCCGCAGGCTGGCTGGCAACCTTCCCCAACTTGGGCAACGGGGACTAGACATCGACAGGGGATGATGGGCCAGACCTCGCTCGGGTTAGCCCGCCGTCGCACGCCAATCCTTCTTCACACAGCCAAGCCTAGCTTGGCAGGATAACCTATTACGGCTTTACGATGGTGGGGGGTGCTAGAGACATATCTCCAGGCAGCCGTCAATTGCACCTGGTCGAGATGCTCGGATGCAGGAACAAACGGCAGCCTATTTTTTTCATCCCTCTTCCTTGGCTCGTATTGGATGAACCTGCAATTCGATCCCACAATATCCCCCTGCATCCTCCCCAAATAGCCGTAGACGCTTAAACTTTGATGAGATAGATTCGAAGAAACATGTCCATTGAAATCCAAGATCTGGAGTCGAAGCGAGCCCTCATGATCGGCATTTGCGCTAGCGTCTTGACCCCAACCAGTCCGTTGTTACCGCATCGCGGCTGAGCCCCCTGGAATAATCTCTTTTCTTACTCAATGGCTTCGGTTGCTGCTCGGCGGCTACTGAGGTCATCGTTCGGTCCCGTACATCGCTAGGGTGCGGAAAAGCTTGTTAAGACGGCCCGTCTCGCCACGCTTTGTTGTTGGATCTTGCTCTCCATCCCTATCAACCCAACTGGACCACACTCTTCAATTTTTCATCATGGTTCGTCTTACACTATTGGCACTCGCTGCCACTGCTCAGCTTTCCCACGCGTGGCTGCCCGTTGATGGCTCAAAGAAGCTTTTGGACACCCGCGGCTTTAGTCTGTTCGATGGCCAGAACACGACCGACGATGAGGCGCCCAGCGTTGGCAAGCGTTGGATGCCCGCAGCCGGCAAGATTAGGGGCGTCAACCTGGGCTCCCTTTTCGTCTTTGAGCCGTGGATGGCCAACACCGAATGGAACAACATGGGCTGCGGCGGCCAGAAGTCCGAGTTCGACTGTGTCATGAACATTGGCCAGGATAAGGCGGACGCTGCTTTCCAGAAGCACTGGGGCTCGTGGATCACCCAGACCGACCTCGACGAGATGATGGGCTACGGAATCAACACGATCCGTATCCCGCTCGGCTACTGGCTGGATGAGTCGTTGGTCGACAAGAACTCTGAGCACTTCCCAAGGGTTCGTGTTGCGTCGTGGAAAGACATGAAGCGTTGGCTAATCTTTGTCAGGGAGCTGAGAAGTACTTGATCCAACTCTGCGGATGGGCCAGCGATCGTGGCTTCTACATCATTCTGGAGTAAGTCGTGTCAGCCCGATCACGTTTTCTTTAGCTGACATGTTCGAAGCCACCACGGTGCCCCCGGTGCCCAAGTCGCACAGAACGCCTTTACTGGCCAAGTAAGATGACCTTCAGTGGACGACGAGACTTCTGATCTGACGTGAATAGTTCGCGCCCTCTGCCGGCTTCTACAACGACTACCAGTACGGCCGAGCCGTCAAGTTCCTCCAGTACCTCAGGAAGCTTGCCCACGACCACAATGAGATGCGCAATGTCGGCATGATCGAGCTCGTCAACGAGCCCACCAGCTGGGACTCAGCCGTCCCCTCGATGCGTAGCACCTTCTACAAGAACGCCTACAACGTGAGTGTTCCATCATCATACCCTGAGACCACCTCGCTGACATGCTTTCCACAGGCCATCCGCCAAGTCGAAAAGGACCTCGGCGTCTCGGCGAACAATTACTTCCACATCCAGATGATGAACACGCTCTGGGGCTCAGGCAACCCGGTGGAGTTCCTGGACGACAAGTACTTCACCGCTTTCGACGACCACCGCTACCTCAAGTGGGCGACGAACGTGCCCGTGACGCACGCCGACTACATCTCGACCTCGTGCAACGACAACCGCAACAGCGACTCCTCCGGCCCCACCATCGTCGGCGAGTGGAGCATCAGCCCGCCGGACTCGGTCGAGAACACGGACGGCTGGAGCAAGGACTCGCAAAAGGACTTTTACAAGAAGTGGTTCGCGGCGCAGGTGCACTCTTATGAGAAGAACACCGCCGGCTGGGTGTTTTGGTCATGGAAGGCTCAGCTTGGAGACTACCGGTGGTCCTACAGAGGTATGTTAACTCACGCCAGTGTGGATTGCTCATTGCTAACGATGCTTAGATGCTGTCATCGCGGGTATTGTCCCTACAGACCTGAACACCATTGCCAGCTCCGGTGTTTGCAATTAGGGAGTGACGTCTTATAGACCATGCTCAACGGCCTTCTGGCTGTTTGGATACCTTGGCATTTACATCTTCATTGTACATACTTCAGCTTGAATGATAGATACACGACTCCATTGATGACAACTAGCTGCCCAAATGAGATGGCGGATACTTTTATGATAACTCGAAGGTAACGTAACGTAGTCCGCAAGACCATTTTGACTAGGCTAGGCAGACTGGGCCCGAAAGGGAGCATTCTGCGACGAGTCGAGCGGCGTTTGATTTCTTCCCGCATTCGGCAACGCTGCTCACCCCAGAACCGGCGTCTGTCAGCAACGGCCGCGAGATCGCCCTCGCCGGTGCGGAGGATACGGGAGATCAGCGTTCGGCAGCAAAAATATTTCTTGGATGCCTGCGATTCTCCCCGCAGTCGTCCAAAGCTTACTGGTCCCGGTTTGCACCGCCCTCTCGCCTCCGTTTGTTGTCATTCGGCCCTTTCATTAAACCCGTATGCTAAGCTCATGTCTCGGTCCGCCAACCGCTGAGATTAACGGGAAGCCAAGCATTTTGGCCGGGCTATCGGCACCATTTGCGTGTTTAGAGTGCTGGTTTCAACGTCATGTCTCGCAAACACATGGTGTTCGCTCTTTGCCCCCCTTGCAAACGCCCTCGGGCTGAATTTCCTGCAATACCCAATGCTGGGAAAGTAGAGCGGACCTGTTGTCTCGAATGCCTAAATTGCAAACGCGGTGTTTGTGATCGCCCCAGAGTGACATTTGACGTTCAGCCGCAATCGCGGTTCCCGGCATCCATGACGTGCATGTGGCGGGCGCTCCGTTGCGTACCCACGACGCCGACGCAAGGGAGGACACTGGAGCTGCCACTGGAGAAGCCAAACAAGATTTTATGCTTCTTTTCTTGACGAAAGCTTCAGTTCTAGACTGCCGTTCCCCTCTTTTCAATCATCAATCTCGGATCAACCCACACTGCGGAAGTTGGATTTCGATCCACGCGAAGCGGCGTGGTTGAAATTGTGGGTTGCTATGACTTGAACACCAAGCGTGATTGCCGTCCGACGATGCCATCAGTCGTTTACGGGTGGAGCAGGGCCGCTGACGCAGTGCGACCCTGTGTGACGATCCAAATCAGACATCCGCCTGCGCAGCTGTTTCCCCAGATTTTTTTACCGAGTCGAGCTGCCGCCTCCCTCACTGGCTCGTTCCCTCCTAGCTCCATGTCCATCGGAGCCGATTTGTGGGCGGGAGGTGATCGACATGCCCCAGCGAGTAGCTTCCCTTTCCCTTTCCCTTTTCCCCTTTCAGTCTGACAGACATTTGGAAAGGCTCCGGGTCGCCCGGCTCATACGACTGGTTGGATGTCATGCTACCCTGAGGTAACAGCACCCAACTGTCTGCTTCCGAGTGAGGAAGCAATGTACCTCACAGAAAAGCAGATCAGCGGGGTTCCGACGGTAAGGTTGCGGCTCCCTTGGGATCTCTTGCCTGTTGCTTGACTGACGACATGGCGGAGAAGGAACCATGCCCCAAGTCGTGGAGAGAGTAGTGTGCTGAGGGAAGCACACCGTCTTCTCGCCTTGCCCGCCATCCCTATTTAGACCCCTCCATCTTCTCGAACATCTCCCACCTCCATCCCAACGACATACCATCCGCAAATCGTCTTTGGCTAGCCTTGTCCGACAGAACTCGTATTCTCGCAACGAAGCCATCTTCAAGGTACCCCGACGACTCCTCTCCTCAGTATAAGACTCAGCTTGCCGCCCTCCACTCACGCACATTCCATCTTCATCAGCATCACTTCTCCCCTCTGTCTTTCCAACACAAACAATCTCGACCCATTCTTCCATCGACAACATGAAGGCCACCGCTGTCTTTGCTCTCCTGGGCACCGCCCTGGTCTCTGCCCAAGAGACAACGCAGTCTTCACCCTTCTACCTCAAGTACGTGCCTCGTAGCGAGCCGTCATGCAAGGGGACCTACCTCGCATCATGCCACTCTGGAGCTGGCCAAGCTGGTCTCTGCCCTGAGCGCAGCACTAATGGCTCCGCGCAAACTCACTCAGAGTACTTTTGGAATATGACTACCAGCTCTAGCCAGCCTACTCTCGGCCCTCTGATTTGGAACCTGCCCATCGGCAATGGTGACCCTGTTCCTACGACTCTGGACCTCCAGCTTCAGTTGGTCAGCAACGGGGCCATTCCCATCTTCTCTCCCGGCACCACGGGCATTTACAGCTTTGGCTTCGACGACGACGACAACGAGCTCTTCATCTACAGTCGCCAGGACGATTCCAAGGCTGTCCCCGACAAGGTCAACTACACCGCGGAAAAGTACTACCGCTGGCACGTCTGCTGGGATTTTGTCGGCAACTACTACTACCAATCTCTCGTTTGGGTCACCGCTGGTGAACCCGTCAATCCCAGTATGTCTTCTGCTTTGACACGCGGAATTCTTGCTAACTTTACACAGCCTGCCAGGCAGTCCAGGTTTTCCGCGAGGAGGTCTCCAAGTAATCATGTCGGTATGGGGACGTGTAGAAGTGGAAGACCATGGAGCCGATAGAATTGGGCTCGGCGTGGCGAGGACGGGCAAACGCACAACATCATACCCATATCCGTAACTAATACCTAATAAAAACAACACGGTCATGTTGAAATGCGAGAGAGGCCAAATGATGCGTGATTGAAGCTGATTACTTTTACCTGAATTATTTCCAACTACGTTAACTACGCTTCGCTTCCCTACAACTCCCTACGCAATACTGCCAAAAATTGGGTATAATTTGAACGTCTAGAATCCCAAACGCCAAACACGCATGCCATGGACATGCCTAAGAGTTTCTGTATCTTTTTGAGCGACAAAAGAAAATTCGCTGTATCCACGATGGATCTCGGGCATGCTAAGCCTGCAGCGACGTCGAGCGCTCAACACCCGGCCGCTCAGACTTGCTCGCTGCCTCCGCATCCGCCTCTGCCTGCGCCTCACCCGTCTTGTTCTCGACGAGGGCGCTGTCATCCTTTGTAGTGCTCGGCGGGTTCTCCGCAGACTTGCGTCCTTTGTCATTCTCCCCCGACCGCTTCGTGTCGACACTGTGCCTCGCGGCGGGGCTCTTGCGCTTCTCGTCCGTCTTGCGCAGCTCCTTCTCCGTGCCGACGACGGTGCTGATGTCCTCGCCCTTTCTGAGGGCGGTGAGGGTGCGCTCGGCGATGTCGACGCTCTCAAAGGCGGCGTGGTTGACACGCTGCTTCTTGGAGGACAGGCGGCCCGTGATGCCCTTCTTCTTCTCCTCGACCTCGAGAGCCTCCATGAGCTCGCGGATGGTCAGCCAGCCCGTGATGACCTCCTTGTCGACCTCGCGCTTGCGGTCGCCGAGCTGTCGCCGCTCCCGCTGGCCCTGGACGATGCGTGCGCGGCGGACGACCCGGTCCGGCTGCTTGTGGCGCTCCGTCTGCTTGACGATTCCCTTGAGGGTGTAGCCGACGGGACTAATGATGGCGCTGAGGTCTTTGAGGACGAAGCCCGTCAGGCCCATGCCGGTGCCCTTGACGAAACCCGTGAAGCCGTCCTTCTTGGCCCCGCGCACGGGCAGGCGGACGAGGCCGGTCGTGCCGTCGTAGATACCGAAGACGAACTCTTTGCCGGCCGCCTTGAGGCCTGAGCGGATACCCGTCACACGGGGCGGGCGGCGGACGGTATCGTCGCCGTAGAGGCGGGGTGCGTTATGAAAGCCCTGCGCCAGGGCCATGGAGAGATCGACCGGGGCGCGGGCCAGGGCTGAGGCCGTCTTGCCGACGCCGTCGCCAACCTCGGTGGCGTAGTCTTCGACGGGATTGTCGACCGTCGTGGCGGTTTCGACCGAAGACATTGTGTCGCGGCGGTCGCCCTGGCCGGGCCTTCCTGAAGCTGCGTTGCCGTTTGTCTGAGAGTCCTTCTTAGTACCCTCCTTGGCCTGGCCGTTTTGTGTTTCCTGGTTTTCGTTCTCACTGGAATCGCCTTCTTGCCTGTTCAATGCCTTGGGCACTTCTTTCTCGGTCTCCGCGTGCCCATTGGCTTCCGAGTCCTGGTTCTTTGCCGACGTGCGCTTTTCCCTCATCGCCTTGAGCCTCTTCTTCTTTTCCTTCTTCTCTTTCCGCTTATGAGATGTCTTTGCCAGCTTGTAGGGGACGCTCCCCACACCACCAAACACGTTCCCTAACGTACCAGCGACAGAACCAGCTACGCCAGTGACGGGCTCGCCGGGACCCTCAAAATCGTTCCACTCCATGTGGCGAAGCAGTCGGAGCCTCTTCCACGAAATCTGTCCCTCTTCGACAATGATATCGGCGGCCAGAGCGCTGAGCTTGATGTTCGTCTTCTTCAGCGTCCAGACCGCTGCCCGGTCTCTGAGTACGGAGCAGCGCATGGAGTTCAGACCCTGTAGGTTGAGGTGGTGGTGGAACGAGCGCACCGCGTTCTTGGCGCCATCGCCTTCTAGCTCAACGTCTTTAGCGACCTTGCCAGCTGCTTCTTGCGCCTCCTCCGTGAGACAGTACTTGATGCCCTCGGCAAGCTTCTCGGCGGTGAGGTGCTTGTAGGGCACCGCCTCGGGGCCCGCAGAGCAGTTGGAGAGGATGCTGCCCCAGAAATGCTGGTCGCCAAAGAAGGGAACAATCATGGTGGGCTTGCCGCACTTGAGGGCGATCGCAGTGGTTCCGGCACCGCCATGAATGACACATGCCTTGACACGGGGGAAGAGCCAGTCATGGGGTGTGTTCTCCAACATGAAGATGTTATCGGGGACGTCCATCTCGTCTCCGCCAAGACCACCCCATCCCTTGGACACCAAAGCGCGAACCCCCGCCATCTCGACGGCGTCGAAGATCATCTGCGTGAAGCGATCGGCATCATCGACGACAATTGAGCCGAACCCAATGTAGATGGGCTCGTCGCCTGCTTCGAGAAACTTTTCCAAGTCGCTGGGCGGCTCGAAAGACGAAGCCAGGTCGAGGAACACGAAGCCAGAGACGT